TTCACCAAAACCATTTTGATTTCCAGCAGCTACGGATATTTCATATGTGGTGTTTGGAGTGAGATTATCTATTTCGTATTTGTTGACTTTATTTATAGTAATATTCAGGATTACAGTGTTATCTTTCGTCAGTTTAATCCGAAATCCTGTAAGACCATTCTTCCCTCCATTTGCAGGATCTACCCAAGATATTCCAGCACTTTCAGACGTGATGTTAATGACTGTGAGCTTTGAGGGTTTATCTGGTAACAAAGCTAGAAAGAAGGAAGATCATAGATATCAACTTTGAACTCTCTATCACTTCTTCAATTGAAAAATTATCAAATTAATGTAACTTACTACCACCACAGATCCCAATTCTCATACACGCTTGACCAGCACATGTTGATGGAATAAATTTAATTGCTGGTTTAACATTTACCTTTTCCAAGTGTTGTGAACGATGTTGTTGTCTCTTCACCAAAACCATTTTGATTTCCAGCAGCTACGGATATTTGATATGTTGTGTTTGGAGTGAGATTTGTTAGTTTCCGTTTATTGACTTTATCTGTGGTAATATTCCGGATTAGAGAGTTCTCTTTCTTCAGTTTAATGAAGAATCCTGAAAGAACGGCGACACCTTTGTTATCTCCTGTGTTTTCTGGGTCTACCCAAGATATGTCAGCACTTCTAGACGTGATGTTAGTGAACGTGAGGTTTGTAGGTTTATCTGGAAACCGAGCTAGAAAGAAAGGAGATATCATTAGCATATCATTAACTCAACTTATGAACTCTTTATCGTGTTTTGATAGAAAAAGTTATGTTACTTACTAGCACCACAGATCTCGATTCTCATGCACGGTTGACCAACATATGTTAATGGAATAAACCGTAAAGCTCTTGTTGTTATGCCTCCACGGAAATATGCATTGGTTGCATCATTGTAAGCATTTTTGTTTCCACGTATCTAAAGACAAAAAAAACCCAATTAAGAGCATGAATGCAATGAAGAAATATTTTTATTCTTCAAGTTATACATTTTCAGCCAGAACAATAATTACCTTTTTCTTCCAGACTGGTTTCCAGTTGATCAAGTCAACAGTGTAATTGAGCTTATATGTCGTCACCCATTTGGGACTAGTACTGTCACCAAATGTTGCGAAACGATAGATCACATAAAGTCTTCCCAAATCGACTTGAAGATAATGTTTGCCATCCGCGGCAGGAGCACACCAAGAACTACCACTAGATGTTCTTGCATCAGAGGGACTACGACTTTGTGAAGAAGCTGAGGCAGTGAATGACGAATCTGGAAATCTTTGTTTGTCTCCCAACAGTGGCCGTGGACAAACGGAACCTAAAATATGGAAGTAGAAAGGTAAGAATTCCAGATATGAAAGAGCGGAAAGTCTACTGTTGCTTTCTCATTCGATTTTGTCTGTTTATCAAAGCTTTTCTTTTCACGTTTTTTCGCTTTCATTTCGTCCTTGAAGCTTTTCCAGTTCACTTTTTATCCAGTTTCTTCTTTCATGTTTGCATCCTATATTCTATCCTTCATTCTTTTCTTCTAATTACCTCAGGGTTTCGATAAAACACATTTGAAACACTTACATTTTATGTATGATAACTCCGAACATGTTGTCGTAGAATTAGTAATCAAGCATTGCGACAAGTTTTTCACTCCACCGGCACAGTTTATTTTTCCAGAAAATGATGCATCTTTGTTGTCCGATGAAGGGGCCTTTTTAACAAGAGAGGCCAGTCTTAAATAGCCCAGTTGACGACAAACAACGTACTTGGCCTTGTTCTTTAAACTTCGCCAGCAAACATTCTTCGTCCCGCCATACTTGATCTGTACAAAACCTTCGGCTGGTAGAGATGAATACGACAGAGACACACCATCCACTACAAAACAAAATGTGAGAACATTATGAAGATTCAGCCAGGTTTCTGCTAGGTTCAGGTGTTGGGAAAAACAACAATCGATCAATATACTTGGGCTTAAATGTACATCGAAATAGAGCTATCATGCATGGAGTGCTTAGTGACAGAATTACCATTTATGGAACAGTGATTTTTTTGCTTTGGGATACAAGTTCATTTTGTATAATTTTCCTTAAAATTCCTTACGTTGGTGAAACAAGATTTTTTTATTTATACATATTATGTGAATAATGTTTATATAATATTTGTACGTTTGTAGGAAATTTGTGAATTTGCATTGAAAATGAGCGCTGAATTAATTTCTCAAATTTGATAAAAGAAAGACCCAATAATTAATTCATCTTTTTAACACCTGCCTTTCTCAAACGTTGTGACTGAAGTTGCTTCAGATGTTCGGAATGAAGTAATAGTCGTTTCACCAAAACCATTTTGATTTCCAGCAGCTACGGATATTTCATATGTGGTGTTTGGAGTGAGATTATCTATTTCGTATTTGTTGACTTTATTTATAGTAATATTCAGAATTACAGTGTTATCTTTCGTCAGTTTAATCCGAAATCTTGTAAGACTATTGTTCCCTCCATTCACAGGATCTGCCCAAGATATTCCAGCACTTTCAGACGTGATATTAGTGACTGTGAGCTTTGAGGGTTTATCTGGTAATAAAGCTAGAAAGAAGGAGATCGTGGATACCATTATTTCAACTTACGAACTCTCTATTACTTCTTCAGTGGAAAAATTAATGTAACTTACTACCACCACAGATCCCAATTTTCATACATGGTTGACCAGCACATGTTGACGGAATAAATTTAATTGCTGGTTTAACATTTACCTTTTCCAAGTGTTGTGAACGATGTTATTGTCTCTTCACCAAATCCTCCTCTTTTATTTCCGGCAGCTACAGATATTTCATATGTAGTGTATGGAGTGAGGTTTGTTAGTTTCCATTTATTGACTTTATCCGTGGTAATATTCCGGGGTAGAGAGTTCTCTTTCGTCAGTTTAATGAAGAATCCTGAAAGAGTCGCTGCACCACCTTTGTAATCTCCTGCATTCTCTGGGTCTGCCCAAGATATTTCAGCACTTCTAGATGTGATATTAGTGACTGTGAGGTTTGTAGGTTTATCTGGAAATCGAGCTAGAAAGAAAAGATCAGAGATATCGTTTGCGTATCATTATTTCAATTTATAAACTCTACCAGGTTTTCTGTACAGAAATTAATGTAACTTACTGCCACCACAGATTTCGATTCTCATACACGGTTGCCCAACATATGTTAACGGAATAAATCGTAAAGCTCTTGTTCTTATTCCTCCGCTCAAATTTTTAATGGTTGCATCATTGTAAGCATTTTTGTTTCCAGGTAACTAAAAGACAACAAAGCAATAAAGAACATTAATGCAATGAAGAACTATTTCTATTCTTGAAGTTATACGTTTTCAGCCCGAAGAATAATTACCTTTTTCTTCCAGACTGAATTCCAGTTGATCAAGTCAACAGTGTAATTCAGCTTATATGTTGTCACCCATTTGGAACTAGTTCTGTCACCAAATGTTGCGAAGCGATAGATCACATAAAGCCTTCCTAAGTCCACTTGAAGATAATGTTTGCCATCCGAGATAGGAGCACACCAAGAACTGCCACTAGATATTCTTGCATGAGAGGGACTGTGACCTTCTGAAGAAGCTGAGGCAGTGAATGACGAATCTGGAAATGTTTGTTTGTCTTCTAACAGTGGCCTGTTACAAATGAAACCTGAAAAATGGAATTAAAATGCTAGGAATTTTTAGAACAGGAATTTTTGTCGTATTTCTTCTTCTTTTTTATCTTTGTGTCGTTATTCTTTTTCATTTTTTTATCATTGCACCCGATTTTATCCTTCATTCTGTTCATGTAATTACCCTAGGCTTTCCATACAACACTTTTAAAACACCACTTACATTTTATGTATGATAATTCCGTACAATTTTTCGTAGAAGTAGTAATCAAACAATGCGATAAGTTTTTCTCTTCATCAGTACAGTTTATTTTTCCAGAAAATGATGCGTCTTTGTTGTCCGATGAAGGGGCCTTTTTAACAAGAGATTCCAGTCTTAAATAGCCCAGTTGAAGACAAACAACGTACTTGGCCTTGTTCTTTAAACTTCGCCAGCAAACATTCTTCGTCCCGCCATACTTGATCTGTACAAAACCTTCGGCTGGTAGAGATGAATACGACAGAGACACACCATCCACTACAAAACAAAATGTGAGAAAATTGTGAAGATTTAGCCAGGTTTCTGCCAGGTTCAGGTGTTGGGAAAAACAACAATCGATCAATATACTTGGGCTTAAATGTACATCGAAGTAGAGCTATCATGCATGGAGTGCTTAGTGACAGAATTACCATTTATGGAACAGTGATTTTTTTGCTTTGGGATGCAAGTTCATTTTGTAATTTTCCTTAAAATCCTTACGTTGGTGAAACAAGATTTTTTTGATTTATACATATCATGTGAATAATGTTTGTATGATATTTGTACGTTTGTAGGAAATTTGTGAATTTGCATTGAAAATGAGCGCTGAATTAACTACTCAAATTTGATAAAAGAAAGACCCAATAATTAATTCATCTTTTTAACACCTGCCTTTCTCAAACGTTGTGACTGAAGTTTCTTCAGATGTTCGGAATGAAGTAATAGTCGTTTCACCAAAACCATTTTGATTTCCAGCAGCTACGGATATTTCATATGTGGTGTTTGGAGTGAGATTATCTATTTCGTATTTGTTGACTTTATTTATAGTAATATTCAGGATTACAGTGTTATCTTTCGTCAGTTTAATCCGAAATCCTGTAAGACCATTCTTCCCTCCATTTGCAGGATCTACCCAAGATATTCCAGCACTTTCAGACGTGATGTTAATGACTGTGAGCTTTGAGGGTTTATCTGGTAACAAAGCTAGAAAGAAGGAAGATCATAGATATCAACTTACGAACTCTCTATCACTTCTTCAGTGGAAAAATTAATGTAACTTACTACCACCACAGATCCCAATTCTCGTACACGGTTGACCAGCACATGTTGATGGAATAAATTTAATTGCTGGTTTAATTTACCTTTTCCAAGTGTTGTGAACGAAGTTATTGTCTCTTCACCAAAACCATTTTGATTTCCAGCAGCTACGGATATTTGATATGTTGTGTTTGGAGTGAGATTTGTTAGTTTCCGTTTATTTACTTTATCTGTGGTAATATTCCGGATTAGAGAGTTGCCTTTCTTCAGTTTAATGAAGAATCCTGAAAGAACGGCGACACCTTTGTTATCTCCTGTGTTTTCTGGGTCTACCCAAGATATGTCAGCACTTCTAGACGTGATGTTAGTGAACGTGAGGTTTGTAGGTTTATCTGGAAACCAAGCTAGAAAGAAAGGAGATATCATTAGCATATCATCAACTCAACTTATGAACTCTTTATCGTGTTTTGATAGAAAAAGTTATGTTACTTACTACCACCACAGATCTCGATTCTCATGCACGGTTGACCAACATATGTTAATGGAATAAACCGTAAAGCTCTTGTTGTTATGCCTCCATGGAAATATGCATTGGTTGCATCATTGTAAGCATTTTTGTTTCCACGTATCTAAAGACAAAAAAAAACCAATTAAGAGCATGAATGCAATGAAGAAATATTTTTATTCTTCAAGTTATACATTTTCAACCAGAACAATAATTACCTTTTTCTTCCAGACTGGTTTCCAGTTGATCAAGTCAACAGTGTAATTGAGCTTATATGTCGTCACCCATTTGGGACTAGTACTGTCACCAAATGTTGCGAAACGATAGATCACATAACGTCTTCCCAAATCGACTTGAAGATAATGTTTGCCATCCGCGGCAGGAGCACACCAAGAACTACCACTAGATGTTCTTGCATCAGAGGGACTACGACTTTGTGAAGAAGCTGAGGCAGTGAATGACGAATCTGGAAATCTTTGTTTGTCTCCCAACAGTGGCCGTGGACAAACGGAACCTAAAATATGGAAGTAGAAAGGTAAGAATTCCAGATGTGAAAGAGCGGAAAGTCTACTGTTGCTTTCTCATTCGATTTTGTCTGTTTATCAAAGCTCTTCTTTTCACGTTTTTTCGCTTTCATTTCGTCCTTGAAGCTTTCCAGTTCACTTTTTATCCAGTTTCTTCTTTCATGTTTGCATCCTATATTCTATCCTTCATTCTTTTCTTCTAATTACCTCAGGGTTTCGATAAAACACATTTGAAACACTTACATTTTATGTATGATAACTCCGAACATGTTGTCGTAGAATTAGTAATCAAGCATTGCGACAAGTTTTTTACTCCACCGGCACAGTTTATTTTTCCAGAAAATGATGCATCTTTGTTGTCCGATGAAGGGGCCTTTTTAACAAGAGAGGCCAGTCTTAAATAGCCCAGTTGACGACAAACAACGTACTTGGCCTTGTTCTTTAAACTTCGCCAGCAAACATTCTTCGTCCCGCCATACTTGATCTGTACAAAACCTTCGGCTGGTAGAGATGAATACGACAGAGACACACCATCCACTACAAAACAAAATGTGAGAACATTATGGAGATTCAGCCAGGTTTCTGCTAGGTTCAGGTGTTGGGAAAAACAACAATCGATCAATATACTTGGGCTTAAATGTACATCGAAATAGAGCTATCATGCATGGAGTGCTTAGTGACAGAATTACCATTTATGGAACAGTGATTTTTTTGCTTTGGGATACAAGTTCATTTTGTATAATTTTCCTTAAAATTCCTTACGTTGGTGAAACAAGATTTTTTTATTTATACATATTATGTGAATAATGTTTGTATAATATTTGTACGTTTGTAGGAAATTTGTGAATTTGCATTGAAAATGAGCGCTGAATTAATTACTCAAATTTGATAAAAGAAAGACCCAATAATTAATTCATCTTTTTAACACCTGCCTTTCTCAAACGTTGTGACTGAAGTTGCTTCAGATGTTCGGAATGAAGTAATAGTCGTTTCACCAAAACCATTTTGATTTCCAGCAGCTACGGATATTTCATATGTGGTGTTTGGAGTGAGATTATCTATTTCGTATTTGTTGACTTTATTTATAGTAATATTCAGGATTACAGCGTTATCTTTCGTCAGTTTAATCTGAAATCCTGTAAGACCATTGTTCCCTTCATTTGCAGGATCTACCCAAGAAATTCCAGCACTTTCAGACGTGATGTTAGTGACTGTGAGCTTTGAGGGTTTATCTGGTAACAAAGCTAGAAAGAAGGAGATCATGGATACCATTAATTCAACTTACGAACTCTCTATCAGTTCTTGAGTGGAAAAATTAATGTGACTTACTACCACCACCACAGATCCCAATTCTCATACACGGTTGACCAGTACATGTTGACGGAATAAATTTAATTGCTGTGTTAACATTTACCTTTTCCAAGTGTTGTGAACGATGTTATTGTTTCTTCACCAAAACCATTTTGATTTCCAGCTGCTACGGATATTTCATATGTAGCGTTTGGAGTGAGATTTGTTAGTTTCCGTTTATTAGCTTTATCTGTGGTAATATTCCGGATTAGAGAGTTGTCTTTCTTCAGTTGAATGAAGAATCTTGTAAGAACCGCTGCACTAACTTTGTAATCTCCTGTGTTTTTCGGGTCTGCCCAAGATATTTCAGCACTTCCAGACGTGATGTTAGTGACCGTGAGGTTTGTAGGTTTATCTGGAAACCGAGCTAGAAAGAAAGGAAATATCATTAGCATATCATTAACTGAATTTATGAACTCTTTATCATGTTTTTATAGAAAAATTTATGTAACTTACTACCACCACAGATCTCGAATCTCATGCACGGTTGTCCAACATATGTTAATGGAATAAACCGTAAAGCTCTTGTTGTTAGGCCTCCACGCAAATATGTATTGGTTGCATCATTGTAAGCATTTTTGTTTCCACGTATCTGAAGACAATAAAATATTGAACAGCATGAATGCAATGAAGAAATATTTCTATTCTTCATGTTATACCTTTTCAGCCAGAAGAATAATTACCTTTTTCTTCCTGACTGGTTTCCAGTTGATCAAGTCAACAGTGTAATTGAGCTTATATGTCGTGACCCATTTGGAACAAGAACTGTCACCAAATGTTGCGAAACGATATATCACATAAAGTCTTCCTAAGTCCACTTCAAGGTAATGTTTGCCATCTGCGGCAGGAGCACACCAAGAACTGCCACTAGATATTCTTGCGTCAGAGGGACTGTGACTTTCTGAAGAAGCTGAGGCAGTGAATGACGAATCTGGAAATCTTCGTTTGTCTCTTATCAGCGGCCTGTTACAAATGAAACCTAAAACGTCGAAGTAGAAAGGTAAGAAATCCAGATATGAAAGAGGGGAAAGTCTGCTGTTACTTTCTCATTCGATTTTGTCTGTTTATTAAAGCTCTTCTTTTCTCTTTCATTTCGTTCTTCCAGCTTTTGCAGTTAGTCTTTTATTCATGCAATGCTTTTTTCTTTTTCCCTTGCATCCGGTATTCTATCCTTAATTCCGTTTCTCTAATTACCCCTCCAATCACTTTTAAAACACTTACATTTTATGTATGATAACTCCGAACATGTTGACGTAGAATTAGTTATCGTACATTGCGACAAGTTTTTCTCTTTACCATTACAGTTTATACTTCCAGAAAATATTGGATCTTTGTTGTTAGATGGAGGGGCCTTTTTAACAAGAGAGTCCTGTTTTGTATAGCCCAGTTGACGACAAATAACATTATCGGCCTTGTTCTTTAAACTTTGCCAGCAAACAGTCTTTGTCCCGCCATATTTGATCTGTACAAAACCTTCGTTTGGTGGAGATGAATTCAACAGAGACACGCCATTCACTACAAAACAAAACGAGAGAAAATTGTGAAGATTTAGCCAGGTTTCCACTTAGAATTAGCAATTGTAGAACAGTGAGATGTTTTTTTAGGGTTTTTTTCGGGATATAAGTTCGTTATATAATATTTCTCTTAAGATTTTTTCCATTTATACATATTATTTGAATGATGCTGGTTTGTACGAACGAAATTTGTACGTGAAAATAAGCTCTGAAATGATTATTCAAATTTTATAGAAGGCAGAAGGAAAAATTAAATGATTTTTTAACACTTGCCTTTTCCAAATGCTGTACCCGAAGTTATTTTAGTTCGAAACGAAGTTGTTGTCTCTTCACCAAATCCTCCTCTTTTATTTCCAGCAGCTACGGATATTTCATATGTAGTGTATGGAGAGAGATTTGTTAGTTTCCGTTTATTGACTTTCTTTGTGGTAATATTCACGATGAGGCAGTTCCCTATCTTCAGTTTAATGAAGAATCCTGAAAGAACCGCTGCACTAGCCTGGTAATCTCCTGTGTTTTTCGGGTATGCCCAAGATATTTCGGCACTTGTAGACTTGATATTTGTGACCGTGAGCTTTGTAGGTTTGTCTGGAAACCGAGCTAGAAAGAAACGTTTCACAGTATAAGATATTGTTTGCATGCCTTTAATTCAAGTTATGAACTCTGTCAGATATTCTTGTAGAGAAATGAATGTAACTTACTGCCACCACAAATCTCGATCCTCATGCACGGTTGACCAACATATGTTAATGGAATAAACCGTAAAGCTCTTATTGTTGTCCCTCCTTTGAAACGTGTAATGCTTGCATCATTATAAGCCTGTTTATTTCCAGTTATCTAAAAACAACAGTAGAAAGATAAATGTCTTCGAATCATCAAAGCGTTGCAATAATAGTTTTAATAAGAACATGAATACAGTAAAGAAAGACTTAAGTTCTATCGTTCTTTTTGCCACAAAATATGTTATAAAATGTATTAGGCTGAAAAGTAAATATTACGTTTTTCTCCCAGACAGGTTTCCAGTTGATCAAGTCATCAGTGTAATTGAGCTTATATGTCTTCACCCATTTGGCGCTACTACTGTCACCAAATGTTGTGAAGCGATAGATCACATAAAGTCTTCTTAAGTCGAGTTGAAGATATTGTTTGCCATCCGCGTCAGGAGCACACCAAGAACTGCCACTAGATTTCCTTGCGTTAGAGGGACTGTGACCTTCTGAAGAATTTGAGGCAGTGAATGACGAATCTGGAAATCTTTGTTTGTCTTCTAACAGTGGCCGTGGACAAATGGCACCTGAAATATGGGAGTAAGAAGGTTAGAATTCCAATGAACGATAAATCAACTGTTGCTTTCTCATTCGATTTTCTATGTTTATATAAGTTCTTCTTTTCACGGTTTTCTATCGTTCTTTCATTTCATCCTTTCACCTTTTATAGTTCACTCTTATCCAATTTCATTCTCCCTTTTTTATCTTTGCATCCATATTCTGTCCTTCATTCTGTTCGTCTAATTACCCCAGGGTTTCCATAAATTACTTTTTAAATACTTACATCTCAGGTATGATAACTGCGAACATGATTTAGCTTTTTTAGTAATCGAACATTTAGAAAGGTATTTCTCTTTACCACTACATTGTATACTTCCAGTAAATATTCCATCTTTGTTGCCCGATGGTGGGGGCTTTTTAGCAATAGGTTTCTGTTTTTCATAGCCCAGTTGACGACAAATAACAAAAGTTGCCTTCTTGTTTAAAGTGTTCGAGCACACTTTCTTGTTTGCGCCACCATATTTGAACTGAACAAAACCTACGTTTGGTAGACGTGAATTTGTCAGAGTCACGCCATCCACTGCAAAACAAAACGAGAAAAAGTTCGTGAAAATTTAGCCAGTTTCGACACAACAAACAAATCACATTGCAATGTAGGGAAATGTTTGTCCTGTCTATTAAGTAATCTCAAACTCATTAATAATGTATGAGTAAATTAGCAACCATATTGCTTTAATTTGCTCACATGATAATACTGGTAGCTGGTGAAGTACATTGATCCTGTCCTAGGACTGGGTCAAAATTAATCCAGTCCTTGGATTGGATCAAAATTGATTCATCTCAATTAAGTAGTGATTTATTCGTATGAGATGCCATTTCAAATCCTTCAATTCGGACTGGACTAGGTTTCAAGTCCTCGCATTTTGATTAAATATAGTCCAGTCCTATTAGTCGGATTTGAATAATTACTTCACTAACTTTAAACCATTATTTTCTTTCATGCAGTTAATACACATCTCAAAAATATCCCCAAACATTTATTTCAAGACTACCATCAGGTTTCTGCTAGGTCCTGGTGTTGGGAAAAATAACAATCAATCAAACATCGAGGCATACTATCACTAGATGGAGTTTACGTTTTAACAGAATTAACTCATCATAGAACATGGTTCGTAGTCTCCAAGACCAAAAAAATTAAAAGACTTTCAAAGATTTTTTCTGCCTATTTTCAAAGACTTTTCAAAGACCTTTGAGAGCAATCAGCTGTCGAAAAATTGCGAGTGTAAGCACCATTTTTACCCAGTAATTAGTCCCGTCAAATCACATCCTAAAATGCGCCTTTTCGTCGATATTTGCGAAAATCTTGCTTCAATCAATCTGTATTATTAGCTAGGAAATCGTATAATCAAATACTCACTGAAGAATTTAAAGACTTTTAAAGACTTGACTTTCTTCACTTTTTCACACAATTCAAAGACTTTTCAAAGACCTTAAAGACCTGCATTCAAATTTAAAGACTTTCAAGGATTCCAAAGACCGCTAGCACAGTGATTGTTGTAATATTCAGCGATGCAAGTTCATTATGTAATTTCCCCTGAAATTGCTTAACGTTGCCGAAACAAGATTTTTTCATCATACCTATTATTTGAATATTGGTGGTATAATATTTTTGTAACATTTCTACAAAATTTCCAAAATTACTTTCTCCAGAAACAGAGCTCGGAATTAATTACTCAAATTTTATACAGGAAATGCACAATGTATATGCTGAATGCATAAAATATACTCGTTTTAAAAAGTAGAAAACGAAAAAAAAATTGTAACGAACTATTCTTTATTTTCGGAACTTTCCGAAGTAGAATGACCGACGTACGACGTTCTACGAACATGGACATTTTTGAGGAGTCACACGCATGATTCGCGAAATTTTTTGTCTATTTTTGTATTATTAAAGTTTTATTTTCCTGTATTTCTTCGACAAATCCTGTTGTTTAATCCTCAAGCATCTCAATTGCGCAAATTTACTACAAAAAGTGTAGAATTGTGACTTTGAAGCTCGTTTGATCAATGTATTGCTGAGATAATAACTAATGATAATGATTGTTGCTTTCTGACAAAGAGTGAGCTGAATGATAATGCAATATCATGTCAATTCACTGATCAAAATAGATAACAATCTGCCTTTTACAATCACTTAAGGTGGTGACAGCAATATTGCAACTTGTCTCCAAATTATGGAAATGCGCGGCCACGTGTGAACCACGTGGAAAGTGGGGTGATTCCAATTCAGCCAATCAGCGTTGAGGTGGTGTCACGTGATGTACTGTTGAACTCCCGTACCAGCTTTTTAGCTTTGTTTATTTGGGGCGTTGTCCGCTTCGCAAAGTCGGGTTTTTTTACTCGATTTAAAGATATTCAAATCGTTTGTAACTTGACGAACATAACATTGTCTTAGAGGAAAATGTTCAAACTGTAACTATATGAATTTTGCTGTATGAATTGACCTAATTTTAAGGAGAATTTATTATATAAGGAAGCTTGCAAGTAAGAATGAATCATATAACTTAGGATAACTCGTTCGTTACCATTCATGTGCTTGTTCACGTCGTTACCCTTCATGTGCTTGTTCACAAAGATCAGTGTTTATATCTGCTCACAAGATGTCTTAAGGCGGATTTCCAGTCCTCTCACGAAGCTCCTCGCTGCGAGTGATGCATGAGCACTTTCATCCAATCACAATGCTAAACAGTTCATTTTAATTAGATGCAAGCACTCGCAGCGAGCTGCATCAGATCGGAAGCAGATCCCTTTAAACCTTAACCACAGAATAAAGATTCGCACAGAGGGGCCACTCACGTCGGAAACTTTTAAGTTTCTGTCCTCGCGCATGTCGCATTACGCATGTTGGCCGCCATTTTCCTAGCCAGTCAATGACATTTTCTGCCAGGCCAATAAACACGCTGTACTGGCTGGCTGCTCCGCCATCTGGCCAGTAAACTGCATATTTTTGCATAAAAATACAAGGACGCGTTGCACCGCTGAGCGGCCCTTCTGTTACTGATCTTTATTCTGTGCCTTAACACTCTCAAAGTGCGTCTCTCCGCAGAGGCTTTTTTTAGTATGGAAGCAAAAAATAGAAAAAAAACCCCAATTTTACCTCTCAGAGATAAATTATGAAGAGAATCATTAAGTATACATGTCCATTGCTTGCCATATATTGGCCTACATTGTTCGTGGAAGCGGTATATAAAACGAAAACCCTTTCTTAGCTATAAATAAAAAAAGCCCCTTCAAGTGTCATTATAAGTGATTGTAACTTCCCGATTGCAAAGATATTTTAGGATGTCCCACATGTCGGGCACAATGACCCAGAAGTCAAACGAATCTCGCCGGGTTTTTCATTGTGTTAGCTCTAGCGCATTCCACAACGGCAACTGATCTCAATAATGAAGTACTTGGATGCAATAAACGCTTGATGCCGACATGGATTGTAAAATAACTTAGGCGGGTTCATTTTGGCCATAGATCAGTATGAAATACCAAAAGACAAGAACAAACATATTTTCAACAAAAAACATGAAAAGGTAAAAAATATCTCAGTCAAAAGCATAGGAAAATCCTTTGTCATCATTCGCCATTGTTGACATCGCGATTTGCAACTAGGTTTCAACATCTCTTGAGCAAAAACAAAGAGCTTTCAGCCAATCAGCGGGATGGAAACACGTCATGTGACTACAGTTTCCTATCCAGTTATTTTACAATCCATGATGCCAACAAGGCTTTGCGGAGAAGAGAGTTCAAGTGTTACAAGTCTCAAACTGCCACAAGGTGTGGCAGAAGTGATGAATGTTTTACGAAGGATCGAATGTGTACTTTGAGTTTCGGCAAAAATTCATGATCTCCTGAACATTTGCTTGGGTGAACTGATTTCACTTCAGTTCAACAGGTTCAAGCAAACATCTTCTATTTTTAAATTTAACCTAAAATTTAGTTTTATGCATAATAGTTTATAAAAAGCTAAGTGGGAGTGCTTATAACACAGTAATTTCAACTTGAACCGTTGACAATCGAAGTTCAAACATTGAAATGAAATTGCGAACTTCGTTGCGTTACGAAGTTGACGCCCAACTTACAAACGTCGCAGCGAACGTGGATTTGCGCGTTTATGCCATTTGCATTACGTGTGAGTAGTGCTTCTGTGTTGTGCTTGGTATTATTGCAAGAGTTTCTTATGTGAAGTACAGGTTTACATTGCAGCTTATAGTGGGTAAAGGAAACAGCACTGAACACGATAATCACAGGATTACTGTATTTCAAGTAGTTTCTGCAGGCCGATTTACTACACTACACAACTTTTACCTAAAACTGTCGCATGCAACCTGCTTACAACTTGAGCTGTACTGTGTAAATCAAGCACACAACACATCTACGACAACGTAAGCAAGTTGTGTGCTTGATTTACACAGTGTAACTCAAGTTGTAAGCAGGTTGCATGCGACAGTTTTGGGTAAAAGTTGTGTGCTGTAAATCGGCCTTTAGTAATTCAAGTGCAAACTTGTTCTAAGAAAATTAACACTTTCAACACTTACCCTGCATGAACAGGAGAATTACGATCAACCCTGCTAAATTCCACTCGCAACACTTGGAAAACATCTCTTTAACTGAGGAAATCCTTGACATAGGCCTTTGTGAAATACGAAAGCGCACCGCCAATATTCACATGGTTGCAATATTGAACTGGTTGATTATTCAATGTGTTTCCGACATTGAAAGGTTAATTTGAACTTGTTTATGTCCAAAATATGTTGAAAATATAGACATACATTTTCATATTGGTTAAAACAACGAGTAATGAATCTGAATGAATTTGAGATAACCAATTTATTGGTTATTTTAACCAATTTGTTTTTACAGAGTACGTTGAAAACTAAACCGATGCAAGTTCGAATCAATTTTTGAATGTCGGAAGACGTTGATGAATCAACAAGTTTTGACACAACAAAGCATATTGCAACGTAGGAAAATTTTTCTCCTGTTTATTAAACATTCACTAACTTTTAACGATTACTCTCTTTCGCGCAGTTCCACATATTAAAAACATCCCCAAACATTTATTTCAAGAACTGATGCTATCGGTTTTTTTCTTCTGAGTTGAAACTCTTTTTACCAATGTTCCGCTCCCTTGGTTGCAGTTAAAAAAATATTTATTCTTCATCGTATTTACAACGATACTTTAAATTGACACCAAGCACTTTGAAAAAAAGTTAACCCGCATTTTAAGAATCCTTACTTTGAGTTGTTGTAACAAAACTGCTTTTTCGTTCGACCGGGACAAATTTATGTTCAAAACGACAGCGTTTCTATGGGGCCGACTCCAACTTTTACCAAATATTTTGACGGAATTTGAACGTTTGATAGTTTCACAATTAATTAATGTTGGTACTTTAAAATTTTATAAACGTTATGTAGATTACATGCCTTTTTTAACAGTTTTGACCTTAATCTTTAAATTTACAGTTGACAAATTTTCTGATGGAGTAATTTTCTTGGCTTAGTAATGTTCACTAATAGCACATCACATTCCATTGTCTCCTGATTTACGTAGTTCTGCGATACTTTAACTAGATGAGTATATATAACTGATCATCTTCTTCTTCAGACCTTTTCAGAGCTGTATACGTCGACTGTTCATCCTTTAGATCTCTTCGTTCATAATTCTCATCCTTTATGTCTGGATTATCGACATTTTCCGTCAAACTCTTTCTGCTCTTGTTCGCCAGTTTTGTCATAGTGCTCGATGATTTGAGTCGACGAATTTGGTAGATTAAATAAGCAAGGATAATTACGAGTAAAATAATCGGAAGAATTGCTAACACTACAATTTCAACAAGATATTTTTCAAAACATTCGTCCGTGCCTGAACGACCAACTCTCTTTCAGAGTGATATATATGTCCTAAAGCAGGAACCATTTTCTGACTGTGAGACACACGTAGTATAACTGACGTCATGTTGTTTATCATTTTCAGAAGGATCTCAGGTGAAAGACAATGATGATGTGGTTTTGATGTTCAATGGAGGACCGCTAGCTTGGAGCTAAAGAATAAAACCGAGGTTTGTAGCTAGTTGATACTTATATAAAATTTAGAAAAATTTAAACTTCTCCATGCGTTGAAAAACGTTTAAATTTAATGTACCCATAAAGTCAAATGCGTGACGTATGCATGTATTCATGAATTATGACTGTAGAACTCATCCAATTTTGCCATTCAATACATTACTACAAAGTTTCTTTCAAAAAACATTCTTACAAACACAAAATTTGCCAAATTTTTACTTCATTACCATTCACAAGGGTAGGTGCTTGACTTTTCGGAGGAGGTGCAAAAAATCTCAGGGAAGGTGCAAAACAATCTCAGCGGAGATGCGCACTCCCGCACCTCCCCTCAAAATCCGGCCATGATATTAACTACTGACATGAAATATTAACGCATTTCATGTCCTTGTCACATCAGAATACTAGGTTTATTGATATCTGTGGCGTCTAGAGATATCTGTCGCCAGAGCTCTCGCAATAGTTCCCCGGTGCATTTACAATGAATCTTATATGACGTACCGACGGTACCGTAGTCGTGGTCACCGTTATCGCAGGCTCAACTAATCAGGCGTTTGGGTTTGCCTAATTTGCTACATTCTGTGATTTGCTACATTTGGCGTTGTGGTTTTACCCTGATCAGAATTTTTATTCAGCTTTTTGGTTGTCGCTTTCTACTACGAAATGGCTTCTGAGTAAGTATCATTTTAATAAAATATAACTATCATTGAAAAATCACGAGAAATTAAATGTCATTAATTTGTTGAGAGTACACTCGTATTGATCGAGACTATTCGAGAGGTCAAAGGGCTATTCATAAATATGATTTTTTCATGCGTGTACTATTATAGGACACGTTGCACATTGCTGTAAAATATAGAGTATTTTCTTACATACCCGTAGCATGGGTAATATTTGCAGTAGTATTTTTTATTAATTATACTTATTTCAAGCAAGAAAAAATCATTTTAACATTGTAATACTCTGGAATATTCTGGGCTGAAATAAAACACCAGCAGTGTTCAATGTTTTAGTGAAATCATGCACAATGTGAATACTTGTGAATTTAATATATCTATAAATATTGCCTTATGTTTGACTATTAGTATTATCATTATTGCTTGATATTTAACTGGCCAAGATATTTGGATTTTTTATTTAATTAAAGGGTTAATTTCCATATCAAAAACCTTGCATTAAATACAATCCTGATGCCCCTAATCCTGACCCTGACCTATGTGACATTATTTCAGGATTTGTACTACTAGAGTGATTACCATGTACATATTTTTTATCATTTGTTTTTTTGTTCTTCAATTAAAAACATATTTTTAAAGGTCTCAAATATTTATTTCAGATTCAAACCACATCCACAGGCCTCCCAAATTGCCTCAAGGCTTTGGAATGCTGATCAAAATCGATTGACACCGGGCGTTGACTATGAATTAGACCTACAAGGATATACGAAGAGTTACGAAAGGACTGACCGTGCTCGGAACCCACTGTTCAGCTGGGTAAAGCCTGAGGTTTTTGAGAGACCTACGTATAAAGGTATGTGTATTTTATTATTTTACTCTGTCTAATGCCAGACAATTTTACTCTTCAGGAGAAGAGTGCTGCCACTCAATAGGGTAATCAAACTATCTGCCTATGCACACTGTTAACCCTTTAAGTAGCAATGTGCAATGTACCCTACTTTATTATTTTACTCTGTCTAACACCATTCTATTTTACTCTGTCTAACACCAGATGATTTTACTTGTCAGGGGGAGAGTGCTACCACTCAATGGGTTAATTAACTCAAATAACATCCACTTATTTGGGGATTTGTGTACTGTGATCTCATGTGTGGAAAAAATTGATTGTTTCCCTCATATCATATTCACATAGCTTTCATTGCATTACTGGACAACTACGAAAGAGACACAGGTCGTGCAGAAGTGGTCACCCAGGAGGAGATTAACGAGAACCGCAAGTTTATCGATCTCATTATGGAAACGGAACCAATGAAAATAGCTCACGAGGTTTTAGCCAAGTTTAAGAAATCCCCACAGGATGTCCGAGGGTTTAAACATCAGCTCTATCAGATCTGGTTTGAGCTGTATTCTAGAACGAAAGGAAATAGGTGAGCAATGAATTGTTTCAAGATGTTAAGTGTGTGACTAAAAAATTTCAAAGCATGTAAACTGCACATCGTTTTTTGATGTGTTGTCAGCAGTCCCTCCTTTCCCCTCGCACGCCTGGGAAGCTAAACCCGCGGAAAGGAGGAATGGCTCACACTCTGTGATCAGGGTTATGTCGCTTATTTTGAAGGCCAATAGCATAGCAGCACATAACATTTTTGTTTCTGGAATTTCTAAGTTTTGGGGTTAAAGTTTCCTGCTGAGTTTACTAATATTCTACTGTGAGTAGCAAAAGTGCAGCCTTTTGCTTTATTGTAGTCATTTAATAATTAGTAGAATCATATTTAGAAGTTATGTTTTCCACTACAGTATGCACATTATTCATATGTGAAGTTATATGAAAATTACATGTACAGATACGGTAGTACATCAGTATTGATTCAACTGTAATTGTTAATTGTTTTTCATTATGTTGTTTGACCAGAAATAAAGATTCTTCAGGGTTTGAACATGTTTTTGTCGGCGAGAGTCGGGCTAAGGAAGTGATTGGTTTTCATAATTGGATTCAGTTTTATTTTCAAGAAAAAATGGGCAATGTTGATTACCAGGGCTATATCCGAGGCCGTGGAGTTCGTGGGGTAAGTAGTACAATTTTTTAGGTAATTTGTTTTCTATTCTTGAGTGTAACGTTATTTTCACCAAAACATTTGTACACAGAATGCTCAGTTCAGTTTTGCAGTTAGAATTTTCGGTTCTACACACTGTCAGTTAGAATTGCAACTATGTATAGAGTTGATCTACCTCTTCAATAATACAATACAGTACAATACTGTATATACAGTATAAGTAAGTTTAACAATAAAACGTGACGGAAATATTGAGTGAATGGAATTCTGAAATGTTTTTAGAAACCAAGTGAAGACACTCATTTGGTCACGATTCAATTCGAGTGGAAAGATCAGGTGAAACCAGTGGGGAGTTCATTCATTGGAACTAGCCCAGAGTTTGAAATGGCATTATATACCGTGTGTCTGTTGATGGACTCATCTGGTGTTACGAGCATTGAAATGGAAGATATGGATCTGACGATCACTACTCATCGCTTTATCGGACGAAGCTCAGATAACAGAGACAAACATTTCATTGCTTCTTCATTCCCTAAAGCTATGTGAATACATTCACAAGATTCCCAGCTTTTAGTTTTTAATAATTTTATAAATTACAATGCTCGTATTGAAATAGAAGATGTATTTAACTAGGAAAATTATTCTTTATTCCCTAAAGCTGTAGAAACAGACGACAGTACATTTTACATGTTTGAAACAAAAAAGCCATTTTCGTCACTCCGCATTTTGACGCTCCACATTTTCAAGACGCGCCAGTCCGCATTCCGTCCGCATTTTCGACTTGCTTGATATATACATAAGAAAAAGATTTTAAACGATTTTCTTAAAATAGCTTACATACATGTATACGACACACTGCAAGAAATTAACGTAAAATATTTATTAACAATTATTGCATTGGTGATTTGAATATTGCTACAATTAAACATGCACTGGGTAATTCAAACACTAAGCTGAAACCGTTTATAACAAAAACCATTTTAGAATCTCGTCGAGATAAATTGCAGTTGAATGATAACATGTAGCTTCTGTGGGTTCTGACTTGAAGCGAGTGATGAAACCGTACGGAAACTAATTGTATTTTGAGTAAAGTTTGCATGTTCAAACAATGGTTCAATTCCTTCTTCCAGACTTTCAGCTGCATGTAATTTACATCCCATCGTAAAACGTGTCATTTGTACTATGCCCAGTCGAGTTTCTCTTACATCTGTATTGTTCTATACTGTTCCACTATGATGATTGTTCTTAATGACCCTAAACACCTCACAGTTCACCTGTTAGAGATGATCGCAGCTCGACAACATGTTCTCGACAAATATACATGAAAAGTTTGCGCTGCCTTTAAGCCAAAGTCTATATACAATACTAATCATTTCAATAGTTTTTCATGCTATCTGTGCGGTTGTTTCTATAAGCGGTAACCTGTTGGTGTTATTAGTCTACACGAAGCGAGTCCTACATCACCGTGCTCAGGCACCTGATTTCCTTCTATTCAATCTGGCCATTTCAGATTTCGCAGTCGGATTAATCCTCCTCCCTCTCACCATTGTAACCGATGTTTTTATTTTGTGTCGACAAGTTTTGTTCCTGCGCGCCATACTCGAGTCCGTACTGATGCCATTTCTAGCAAGCATTTCAATATGGACTGCGTTCGGGGCGAGCATCGATCGTTTGGTGTCCATCAAGTGGCCGTACGACTATAAAAGTATCATGAATCGTTCTCGAATCCACAAATGGATTTTCTTCACCTGGACGTACGCTTCTTCGTGGATATGGTTTCCATTTCTTCCAGGTGTGTGAAAAAATATTTCTGTATGGGAGCATGTAAAATATAATTGATTTTTTAAAAAACGTCACATACTCGAATCCTTCTAAACGTTTTATATTAGGTGAACTCCGAATACTTTATTATCTTTCCTACCCTTTCGCCTCTTTTTTAAATTTGTACATTTGTGACGAATTTCATTAAACTAAATAACACAGTTTTGTTGCATTTTTCACGCAGCTAGATTTTTGCAGCTGCTCGTTCGTCAGAGGTCAAATATCGTATATATTATAAGTCTTCTTCATAAATTCCGGCCATCTACATTCAGTTACATCGAACGACATGCCAAAATTCTTGATATTTACACATATACACTTTGAATCTTAAATTAACGTGCTCGTACGAGACACACTGTGTCGAATTGCTCTCAAACGTGAAGGTCCAGAGTAGATAGTATTCTACAAACAGCTGCCGTGTTTTGTGTCTGAACTACCTGGAGAAGATATCTCGATGTCCAATATAGATAGTATTATTATACAATAAGCTGCCGTGGCTTTTGTCTCAACTACCTGAAAAAGATATCTCAAATGTGGGGGTCCAGTGTAGGCAGTATTATACAATACTACTCCATGGTTTGTGTTTTAACCACCTCAAAAGAGTAAATATGCACACTTGGACGTTTCAAGCAAAGGCTCTTCTCTATAATCTGCTTACAAAGGGCCTCCAGGTGTGACAGTAACCCAGGTATGGATCCAGCATGATCTGGTAGGGGGGGGGGGG